CTGCAGCCTTGGAACTGAGCCTCTGGAACCTGCCACCTCGGCCTGCATTTCTTTTCAAACCCTCCGCAGCGTTGGCCTCCGACCTACTAGATGGCTCCCAACGTGATGGCCTCCAACCTACTTTACTAGTCATGGCCTCAGCGATGGCCTCCAAATGCCTCCAACCTACTAGCGATGGCTGGCAACCCATGCAAGAGCGATGGCCTCGTCATGGCCTCCAACCTAGAAGCAAAGGCCTCTAACCGTGAAGAGTGATGGACTCCGATACCAGGCCCCGGGCTGGACCTTTCAAAAAGTATAACATGTCTTTTGTCTGTTCTCTTTGACTTGTTTTACATATCTTGTTACTTATTTAACAAAATGTCTGAGTCAAAAACACTCTTTTTTCACTTCTCTTTCCCCGCTCACCTTCTTCTCTTTCTTTTACTAGGAACAAGAAGCTACGAACCGGGCTCCTGGCATCGCTACGAACGGAGCAAATGCATCGCTACTCGGGGCTCAAGAGCATCGCTTCGACGGGCAACCACCGGAATTAAAAGGGGTCGGCGGCACCCGGGCGAAGCCCTTACAATTAAGAGGCCACGCTGCTGCTCCTTTCCCCAGGGGCACGCAAAACAAAGCAAACAAGCAACAAACAAATACAAACAGCATGCTTCTCAAAAAGCCAGTTCAACAAGCAGCCAAGCTCATATCCCCTCTTCTGGTGCCATAATATATAGTGTACCCGAGCTTCTTCACAACAGCACCTGTCCCTGAAACCTGCCCCGCCCGGCTCAACGCCCCCGGGCTTCACTTCGGACTGCACCAGGAAGTTGTGTTCCCGACACTCCGAGGCGTAGTTCATCGCCTGGGCGCTCGGGGCTGCTCCGGTTCTCGGTGTCGAAGCTCGCGAAGCTCGGAGCAGGGAAGGGATAGCCCGGTAGCCCGATTACCTATAGGCACCTTATGATCCTTGTGGCTTCTGCTCTGAAGCAGGAGGTTGCTGGGCCCAACCCATCCCAACACCCTTCCCAAACACTGGCTAAAGAAGTCCAAGAGTTCCCTATTCCACCCTGGGGTGTGTGACAGGATCCATCAGCTTGGTTACCGCACCGTACACTGCATTGATCATCCAACAGGGGCACTTGATGGTGAGTGAAGCCTCAAAGCCCCTATTTCTACAACGATGACCTGATATGGGCGCCATGGGTGATCCAACACATGGTCGTTTCGGGAATGTGGTGATTGCCCATAAAAAGCACATTGATACTTGCACCATAATTGCTATTGGAAAATTGTTCCTTTTTTTTATACTTGTCTTTTTAAAGGGCTACATGATGCTACATGTATCTCTAGTATATTGGGTCCGGAGCCGAGCTGAATAAGCCAAGAAGTATGAAGCAACCATCGAGACTCTCTCGCCAGAGTGACCCCCAATAAGATCCAAGAAGTATTGACTAAGTATTGCAAGAAACTTTGCAAGAAGTTTCGACTTTTCCAAGACGCTTTCCAAGAAGTTTTGTCTTGCTTAGCCTGCGTCCATCAGTTGCCTCCTCCGGTGCGACCGAAGCCGTCGCCTCCTCACAATTAGCTTTGTATTCCACAGAGGCGATGGCCTTCGCAACAAGGTGAGACACTTCAAAAGGAACCTCCAAGTGCTTAGAAAGTAGCGTGCAAGCAACTAACCAAAAAATCGTTGTAACATGTTGCAACATATCATCACTTACGAACACACAACTCCATTCGATTCCCAAAAACAACCGATGGATCCCCACACTCATCCATCGAGCCTCTGCCTGGCGATGGGCGGACGCCTCGTTCTCCAACTGCTGCAGGCGATGCGCCAAGTCACGGGTCCTCTGCTGTTGTTGACTCAGCTCCTCAGCGGCTGATTCAAAGCTACGGGCGGTCCTCAAGCCAACCCCTTTGCTAGGCTACCTTGAGGAAAATAATCGGGAAATTGCATTCAAGGTAAGGTTGCTCGTTTGATGATAAACAGTCCCCTCTCAAACTTGCTCAGGCTGCATCACTTCCCCAGGAATGACCTCTGGAGACCGGGAAAGATGCATTATTGAGAGGATACGCCGATACACCCCCCCTTGAAGAAACATTGTATGTGGGCCGGTGATGGTAAGTGGAGAAGCCGACTAAGTTGTGTGCATTCTGAGAATGCTCAGTAAGCAATATATGTGAAATGGGTGGCACGCCTGTGCAGTGTGACCTCTGTGTGGTGGAACTTTTGGAGCTGAGCAGGAATCTTCCTCCTTGGAGTGTGTTCTCTGACCTCCTTAGCAGGACTAAGTGGAATGTGACGAGCTGTAGTGCTTTGGATGAGCTGTGTATGGCCTAGCTTTGCTTGAGAGTGTTTGGAGATGCTTTCTTGTTCTTTGAGTGTGTTTTGGACGACTGTGACCAGTCAGACGATCTTCAGAGAAGAGTGGATGAACAGACACACAGTCAAACCGACTGTCATGTTTGGCTCAAGAGCAGGATTCAAAGTGAACATTTCAGAGAATCGTCCACAGGCCAAGGGTGGAAAACCACCACCCGCCATGGGGTCCATGGTATTCCATTCTTCTGATTGTGCCAAGGATGTAAAACTGCGGGTTAGTGGGGATACCTCTCTCTCTCTCTCGTCAACCTGTCTGGTCTTCGGATTGAAAAGGCTCCTCCGAACTGGTGATTCTGCGAACTGTTTCCCCTGGAGTCTCCCCGTGGCTGAGCCCGTGGAAGCTTGGGCTGAGATGATTCTGTGGGCTGCTTTCCTATGTTTTCCTTTGTCCCTCATGGCCCCATGGCTCAATACAAGCGGCAAATGAGCTCAAGAATCGCTGGCAAAAGAAACAAGATTCGCACAAGGCACACCGTGCAGTTCCAGTCCTTAAGTCTTCCTTCGTTATTAAACGATATATATATATATAATATTGCTCTCCTCAACTGAACGACTTCAATTCATGGTTTTGCCCCACGTACCCTGAAAACACTGTATCCAAAAAGCCCCTACCAGCAAAGCAGGTCAGTCACTAAACACTGGTCAGAAAGTAAAGTCGAAACTCAGCTGCAAAAATGCCTCTCATCCTCCCCATACAGATTGGTAACAAACATAGAGGGTCATGATCATATCATATCCAATATTCCTTCACGATGTGGTAGTGCTGCAGGTACCATCAGCTTCAACCATCTTCAACCCACTAGACATGATGTTGCATGTACCAACAGTCAACAGCCACCGACCGGCTTCCCCGATCGCCGAAGAGTTTTCAAAACCCGTGGATCCGATTGTGCACTGCTGTTCTTCCGCGCGATATGGCCCAACTCCTTCAGGAGCACCCGCAACCTGAAAGCAATGAGGGCCACACTGCGAAGTCTACAGCGATGTGATCATCGAACACTACATAGACCGAAGGTCTTGGTTCTACTTGCAAACCTTTGTCAACCAACGGCATCCATGGAGCCAATGGTGGTGGCGTGACCCAACGTCAATGAACCTGTTCACATGAGAGAAAACGACAAACCATGGTCTGTTCCGTTGGGTCTGTGCGTGTACGTGTGTACGTGTGCTGCGGTCCAAACACAAAAGCAACGAGTCCCACTTTTCGAGCTTGGATTGCTTCATAGCACGTAAGCCACAAACAAAATTAAAGAGGCACACAATGATCCACACAACAATAACAACACATAAATAGACAGTGCACCCTTCTGATAAAGCCTCTATGCCTCTCCCCAAACGAAGAGACTTTGCCATGGACTCTCATGGCCGAGCGTCTCGGCAACATCAGGAGCGCTACGCATGAGCTCAACGCCTTCGCGGGGGCAAAGGCAGCCAAAACCCGGAACCCGTGGAACCTTCCGCCAAAAGCCTTCTAATCCACTTGCGGATTGCGCGTTCGCAGCAAGTTTGCAGAACAAATCAAGTGGAATGGATGAATTCATCTGGCCCCTTTTCTATGGAGGACTGAATAAGATAATCGCTGCGCATGCAATTGTGGTGATAACCTCCATTTTAATAACCTCCCCATCCGGACCCCTTTTCACTGCCTGGCCCTGCGACGCTGTCTCCTGAGTTCTGCAGCAGTTTGCTCAAGTGACTCGTGGTTGCGATTGTCTTGATCACACCAGCTATGCAGTGCCTGTTCTTGATTCTTAGTTGCTTGAGTTGCGTGGATGGTGTTGCACAGTTCGCGCTGGCATTTCCTGCGGTGCATGATAGGAATATCAAACTGTGTGTCTCGTTTGATGGGTTATAATAATAGTCTGCGACACTGCAGAAATATTACTATATATCATAACTTGTTTCTGTGACAATCTTGCAATCTATATATATATTATATATAACTTACAGTAATTGTTGCAGGATGGTCGATTCACCAGTCAGTAGCGTACCCTGCACATGCCAAACCGGAGTCGGGTCGCTTGTACTTGGTGGCGATGCAGTGTCCTGAGGTGAGGCTGTGAGGCTGTGCACCCACTGGTGGGTGAGTTCAAAACTCAAAACCATACCAAAGGTGGCTCACCATCCCAGGCGTGAAAATACAATTTGAACACCAACAAAGTTGTCATACCAAGTGGGTCCAACTACTGTAGTTAGTTAGTTGGTTTTGTGTAGCCTCCCATGTTGAAGGAATAACTACAGGGCGTCAAAGAAATCCCTCACAAAAGAAAAACAACATGAAACATATAGACATCATAATTAGACATGTTCAAGCCCACACGCCCACAGCATACACAATATACTTTTCTGGGCAGGCGACGCAGGAGGCGTGAATCGTGAAACATACCTTTCTGACTCAGCTGTTCTCAAACTCAAATGAAGGAAAAAACACGTCCGCCAACAAGTCCAAGAAAGATAGAACCTTGAAACTCATCATTCTCACATCCTGAATCGCACCTGTCTTCACATGTCAGACTCACCATGGGATCAATCAGGATCAGCACCGTATTGCACACCAGAATTCTCACCACATATGCCTTGTACCCCCATCTGCTATAGGCTCTCCGAACTCACATTTGCAACCTACACGTTGACTCAACAGCATCTGTCTTACACAAAATATGCAAATGATCTACAGTCACTAGATGAGATGGGACTTTATGATCCAAAATTCAGCAATGTACATCTAACCTTAATCCCTTCCACCACCACCATCACCACACGCAACGCGTGAGTAAAACACTGCGCCCAGGGGCTGCTTCGCCCAGGGACAGCTCCACCTGCCTCATCTCGCACTCGCGGAACCTGGGCATGTAAGGGCGAAGTGCATCATTGGAGAAACAGCCCCAGAGTCTTATGGTTGTGACAATAGTTGTGATTCTCACTATATAGCTATCACCAAAAAAGCGTCTACCGTCTACCTGAGTAGCTAAAGAGCCAGCAACATACCGTTGTGAAAGGAAAGACTTAGAATCATTTAGAATCATTGAGGCTGGTCCTGTGCTTTTGAATTACGCAATGGAGGCTTGCTCACGCGACATCGAGGCGTTTGGTCCGATTCAGAATCATCGTGCATCAACACACCAGTCCATAGACCAGCCGGGCATTGCAGCTGCTACTCCTTTGCGCTGAGACGTTGCCGACACCATGAGGACGGTCCAAGGTCGCCGAGGAACTCCAAAAGGCCAAGAACATCTGCCTCGCACTCCTCTTCCTGGTCGAAAGCACCGTCCCTTCTTGCAGTTTCCCCAAAAAGACTTCACTTGCATCAGAAGGAATGGAATGGATTCAGAGTATCATAGAGAATCTGTTCAATCCCCAAAAGATAACACCTCTCAAAGCCCGTCTCCAAGTTCAAAATCACATCTCCTGTGCTGAGCAACTCCTTGTGTGCTGGTGTGGGTTGAACCGAATTCAATCAAAAACTCCCATACAATGTGCAACACATGGTTGTCCATGGTAGCTTCTATGCTTCTGACAATCTGCACTCCTAAAAAGCACCTTTATCCATGGCAAACACACACAAACAGCTACCCATTAAATGAATTCAATCCAGCCCCAAGTGATGCCATGAGTGCTTCGGTCCAGCTGCTCCCCCTGGACCCAGTGGCCTTCTCGGCGGTGCGTCGCACCTGGCGGAGGCTCTGCTCTTGGTTCGAGGCCGCCACCTGAGAGCGAAGCCGTGGATTCGATTTATGGGTCAGCTGATGAGACCAACAAGCACCCCCTCTTCTTGCTGAAGTGCCCAAGAAACAAAACAATACACTATATTATAAAACTTATAAGGCACCAGTAGTTATACAGCATTAGCCTGCCAAATCCTGAAAACAATAAGAGCCTTCGACTTCGATGTCCATTGGGGCTGAAAGCTTCCGTCGTTGCAGAACTCGACGGCAAGGAACTTGACATCTTCACCAACACAGCTCAGAGTCTGCCCTCATGTGAATGATCTGGATTTGGGGCTCATGCTTTGCAACTTCTGAAGAGATCCCGGAGAGATCGTCAGATCTGGTCGTTCGGTCACCCGGCCTCTGCCAGGTGCAGCTTCTCCCATGTGGTCTTGGCCTCAGGATGGCCAGGTTACTAAGCTGGGAGCTTTTTTCCGTGATTCGCCCAAAGAACTGCATAGTTCCGCGTCTCTTGTGTGTTGGGGTTGCTAATTGGTGATCACATAGTTAGCGTGGTCAGCAATGGAATTCTCATGGCATCGTGCCCACCTAAGGAGTGAATGATCAACACCACTGATCCATCACACCACCTACCGCAACCTCTCTCTCATCTCACGTATCCACACAACTCATGAACAAACTACAAGTGCTGCGGCTGATTCCCCACCTAGGGGAGTTGCATGTGCCGGATTCAAAAGAACCACACTTGGGCAACATAAGGAAAGCACGCAACAGAACTGCGAAAACATGCAAACACACAATTCACAGCTGCTTGTCCGTTGTTTGTCTGCTGGAGCTGCTTGAGATATCCAAAAAAACATTAAACAAAAAAACAGCATCACATTTCTACATCGGACCCTCGCATCGCACTGCGACAAAACACCCACAAACTGTCCTCAGGCGCCACGCCAAGGCCATCTGCTCCTTCTCCTCTGCGTCGGCCCGTCGCAGCTTCCGGTCCACCACAGTCTGCAACGTGTGATTGAGATGCCCTCTATAGCGGTGGAAGGGGTGATGAAAACAGGGAGGGTTGGGGGCAGAAACAAACAGTATGAGAAAAACACTCGTGGTTGAAAAGCTTTCAACATCTGAAACTGCTTGGTCGAGTACACATATTTGTTTTTGCAAGCAGCAGGAATGGAAGTGCACAAACAGTGTTTGAAGGACTATGTAAGTTCATGTAAGTTCATTCTAATTTCACCACTATCTTGTTCAACAAGTGTGTTGCGCATGTGCACTTTTAAACCTGGGGGGATCTTAATTTCGGTAATGGAATAATAATATTTAACAGATTTCCGTCGATTGAGCAACAGCTTGAAACCAGCAGGTCTAAGCAAACTGTAAACTGGTCGCCTGCTGCATTTGCGAGGCCATCATCTCAGCTTTCACCTGCAAATGAATCCCGAAATGAGGCAACCAGTAACCAGCCACTCGCCAATGGTAATTGGCCATTGCCACTGAATCGAGTTTGTCTGCCAAACATGTAGATCAATTCGTGAAACCACAGAAACCCAAAAAAAAAACTGAAGATCAATATCAAATCATCCAAACAAAATCCTTGCGGCTCGCAATGCGCGCCGTAGAAAGGTCATCGTTCTCATTGGACTGGGCGGCCTGGCAGAGGTTTGACATAGAATCTAGAGACCCCGCGGACCCCTGTTATTCAACTACACCAAAATTCTGGGTTGATTGGGAAATCAATTTGGGGAACCCTTTTTTTTAACCCCCCAACCTCTTTTTTTTAACCTACCACCTTTTTTTCAACCCCCCGACCCTTTTTTTTAACACCCAACCACTTTTTTCTAACCCCCAACATCTCTTTTTTAACCCCCCAACCTTGTTTTTTTAACCCCCGACCTTTCTTTTTTAACCCCCAACCTCTTTTGGACACCCGGCCCTTACTTTTTGAGAGCTGGAGGGGGGTTGTCGTTGTCGTTGTCGTTGTGGTTGTGGTTGTGGTTGGTGTTGCTGTTGTTGTTGTTGTTGGTGGTGGTGGTGGTGGTGGTGGTTTTGTTGTTGTCGTTGTTGTTGTTGGATTTGTTGTTGTTGTTGTTGTTGTTGTTGTTGTTGGATTTGTTGTATTTTGTTGTTGTTGTTGTTGTGCTGCAGTTTCGGAGGGCTGGGTGTCTACAGGCGTGCGCAACACGGAGATGAGGGGCGCATCTCAAGAAAGCGCGAGTGGGTGCGGGGGAGCGCGCAGACGAAGTCCGGGAACACACACATTTGACAGCTGCAAGTGGGTGCGGGGGAGGGTGCAGAGGAGGTCCGGGAACACACACATTTGACAGCTGCAGTTTCGGAGAGGCAGGTGTCTACGAGCGCGCGCGCAAGACGGAGAGGGGGCGCACCTTAAAAAAGCGGGAGGGTGTGCGGGGGAGGGCGCAGCGCCTCCCCCGCGGGGCGAGCGAAGCGAGCCCCCAGCGACAGCATGGTGATACAAGGGTCCGTCAAAGAGAAAATATAGACGTGCGCAGCGCCGTTGTCGAAGGGGTGGTTTGCGTTGCTGTTGTTGCTGTTGAACACGTGCGCAGGCGTCAGCGGGGCTGATTGAAAACAAAGGAAGCTGGAGGTGGGCTCGGGGGGAGGGCGCTGCGCCTCCCCCCGAAGTCAAGCAAAGGTACTTGCTTCGCTTGTTGTTCTTGGATTTGTTGCTGCTGCTGCTGTTGTTGTTGTGGTTGAGCAAGTCCCTTTGCTTTGAATTCGGGGGGAGGCGCTGCTTTCTTTTTTTCACACACTCCGCTTGACGATTGCGCACGTGTTCCACAACTCGGGGGGAGGGCGCAGCGTTTTTTCGAAGTCAAAGCAAAGGTACTTGCTTTGCTTGTTGATGTCATGGCGCGCACGCAAATGCTGCGCATCAGTGACATGCGCTCCATGCGGTACATGGGACATTGCGTAGGGGCACTGTCTACTGCCCACAAATGGACCTCACCCCTAGCAAGGCAACAGAGCCTCGGTATTCCTCGATTACCCTTCCCCAGCATTCGAAGCACGAAAGCTATGCGCTATTCCATGTTCCTCCCTCCTCCGTTTATCGGCACTCCTGACTAACCGACCGATAGCGACAGGCTTCAGTGCCACAGCACCCCTCCCGCCTTGCCTGCCTCCTTCTCAGTGCGGATGTAGCTCCTGGACAGGTTTGCATATTCGGAGGCTCGCGGTGACGTGCGTTGCTACATTCCAACCCGGTTGCGCTCACCTGTCACCCCTTGGTGCACCCTCTGCGTTTTTCTTTTGGCGCGCTCGATTGTCTAGCGCTTGCGTTTGCGCCCACGAGGCCGTTGGACTGGGATGTTCTGCAAATTAGCCGTTGGATCACCATGCAAGGCTTTGATGTACAGCACATGCTCACAATCTGCAATGAACTCTCTGCACGTGCACAGCCTTCCTGGCACCGCTTTTTTCAGTTTCCTGTGCACGCGGGGCCAAGAAGCATGGACGAGGTGGCCTTCCAACACTGCGCAGTAGCCTTGCAGGTACTTGTGCAGCTGCGCCACATCCAGCTGGTCATTTGTTACAATTCCTGATTTGGCAAGCCATGTGGCCAGCTGTGGCCCTTCTGAAGCTATGAGGTTGCCAACCATCTCTGCTACCTCTTTGGTCACTATGGCTTCAGCCGCTGTGAGTTTCTCCCGGGCTTTGGTCTGCAGGACCCAAAAAGTAGTGATCCCGTCCTTGCTTGTGCTGCTAGGTTCCCCAGTGCGGATGTGGACTTGGCGGTAGTTGCGATTTTGGCACAGGCGGGGCTCGCGATTCAGCCAAAAATCCACCGCTGGTGATCGGCCTGCTGACCGCAAGCTTTGACTGTTGAACAGCGCTTCTGCTGAACCAGCGGGCCAGGTGACCACTACTTTCTCTTCACCCCACGCAAACTTCGTGGCCCAATCATTTTCGAACAATTTCTCCATGGCACCGAAAACTTCTGCAGGCGATTGCCTCAATTGACCTTTGACAGTGTCTTGCCAATAGGAATGAAACGATTCCAACGGCTGCGTGCCAGAGCTGGTGCCGGGATAGGTCCCCAAGATTCCGCCCCAGAAGCCACCGAACCAAAGGCCGTCCGCTCCCCACAATGTGGATGTGCAGCTCAAGCCTTTCTGCAAGCTGTCCACTGAAACTTTTTGAAAGTACGTGGTGCGGAGATATTCTGCGGCTTTTGGACTCTTCGTTTGAAGCCATGAGAAAGCCAGCTGCCAAATAGCATCGAACAGTTGGATCGTTGGGGCTTCTCGGCTGATATGGATGATTTGTTCCAGTTTGCCAAATGCGTCACAGTCCTGTGTGCTCAACGCAGCCTCTGGGTGTGCCACCGCCTCTGTCGCAGCCTCTTCTGCTACAAGGCCCTTCTTGCTCCTGCCCTTCTTCTTTGGCGCCCTGAAGTGCGCAGGCAACAAATGCGGTTGGTTCTAAGATAACATGCCCTACTTGCTACACTTGCGCTGCAACAATTGACTGCCTTTGACTGAGGCCCTGACGGACGCGCATTTGCTCGTGGCTTGCGTGGCAAATGCTTTTCCAACACCTTGTAGGATGCTCGGCGCATGTGCGCGTAGTCATCGCAAGGCCTGGAATAAGGAAAGACCTTTCGACGGGAAGCTTCGATGCCTTTGGCATAGTCTTTGTGCACCTGCCACACCTGTTCCCGAAGATCGAGGCCGCACTCCTTCTCGGCCAAAGCGCACGCTTCCAGGAAAATCTGGGTCATATTGGCTTCGGATTCCGAGTTGACCAAGGCTTGCAAGAATGGTTCTTGCGTGGCCGTGTGCGCACTGACTGACTTGGTGTGGGTGGCCCCTACCCAGGTTTTGCTTGGTGTGGCGCTGCTCACCAAGAAAGACAACGTGACAATGCCATACTCATTGGAAACTACCCGCTGCTTCGCATCCACAGCCAGCTTCACGACCTTCTCCTTCAAAGCCTGCGCGCGTCGTAGCATGCCTGGACATGTCCACATCACGCAAACCCGCTCTTCATCAAAGGTCGAGGACGGCAGCACTATCAGCCTCCAAGCCTTCCAGGATTGCCATGCATCCATGTGCGCAGTCATGTGCAGCATCGCCGCGTTTTGCAACTGGCTCACTGTTAGCTTGCCCTTGCTGCACTGCTGCGGGCCACCGCGGTTGAATCTTCCCACAAAGTTGTGCAATTGGCGATTGCTGCAGCGAAGTGTCAAACCGCTCGCCTGGAACTTGTCCCGGATGTCTTTGGAGGTCACCAGCGGCCGCTTTCCTTCCAAGTCTGACAAAGCTAATGCCTCTGCACATGTCCACAAAGCTCCTCCTTGCGGAGGCTGCAGCTTGCCATGGGAACCTTTCTGCTCCACACACAGGACTGGCCCTTTGTCAGTGAAGGTCAACCTGCCCTTCACTTTCTTAGTGCAGTCTGCACATGCAGTGGGCTTGCAGATCCCTAGCACATGTCTGGCCCCGCTTGCCAACTTCTTTTCATGGAAGGTGTAGATGCCAGGATCCCTGGCTTCGCCCAGCGATCGCTCCATTGCGTTTCGCATGCCCGTGTAGGTTGCGGCATCTGTTGAAGGGCTCCCATGGAACAAAACGGACCACGTCCCACTTTCTGTCTCCTCCTCAGCAGTTCCCACTTCGACCTGCAAGTCGGGCTCGCCCTTCTCCCCCGCGCTGGTTGGATTGGACATGGAGGACGACCTGCAGGCACGCAAACAAAACTAGTGCGCGTGCTGTCAGGGGTTGCCATGTTCACACGCACACACACACACACACACTGGACCACAACTCTTTCCACGCCCGCCTCGGCATGCTTTCTGCCGCTGGCTTGGCGGAGCTCTGGTCATGCCCTGTCCTGGGCAGAAACCACGCACGCTCCGGACCCTGCGCCGTTTTTTTTACTTCTCGATTTCTCGATTTCTTGGCTGGCTCACATTTTACCTGCTACGTCCACCTGCCTTGGCTTGCTATGCTTACATATTAACCCACAACTTTCTTCCCACGCCCGCCTCGGCCCGCTCTCTGGCGCAGGCCTTGCGCGGCTCTCCGCAGGCCGTGTCCTGTCACCAAACCACGCACTATCCAGACCCAAGGCCATAACCTTTGTCGCCCACACACTTCTGGGCTTGCTTCCCATTTATACTCTTCGTTTTCCACTACATATGACACTCACACACACACACACTTCCCGACCTCTCTCCCCTTGCGCCTTTCTGCCCTCCGAGCTTGACGGGCATCTGCTCTGCGCGGAGGCCCAAAAGACCAGCTAGGCACACCCATTTCTTTCAGACCTTCTTTCGCTTCTCTGGACAAATCTGCAAAGCAACCCTTCACAAACACATCTTGCACCTCGCCGCCGCAAAGTTGCTCCCTGACTTCTCCAAGCCCCCGTTCAACCAATAACCCCATGACTTCTTGATAGGCTGCCTCTTTCCACATGGGCGAAGGCAACGCGCGAAAATGTGCCCCACAGCGACGCGTCCATTCGGCACACCAGCCCGAACCCACCAAGGCTCTGAGTAGCTCCGCCATGGCCTCCACAGCCTGGCCGAGATCGAGCAAATCCACGCCCACAGCACAACCATTATATAACCACCACATACAGTAGACATGTGCATGCGTTCCCGCGTCTTCCTAGGCGCTAAGCATTCG